ACACACACACACACACACACACACACTCTCTCTCTCTCTCTCTCTCTCTCTCTCACACACTCACACACATACGCACTCACACACACTCTCCACTTCTTTTGTTAAGGCCAAATTTTTCGTTTAAGTTCCCCATAAGTCCAGAATGATAAATGTACTGTCTACTCACATCAAGTCCTCTATTCCTCACAGGTTTACGACTACTCCATTGTGTACCGGTCAAGTCTCATTGCTGTCATGGCACTGTTTGTCCTTCTCGGAGGAGTTTTCTATCTCGTCTTCCACGCAATGACCCCAGTTCATGCCAAGCCCTTGAGGAAGTTTTTGCGATGACCAACACATTTTTTTTTTAAAGACAACAGCCACCCGGCCTTCCATAAGCACAAGCCTGACACATTTCTCTGTGGGAATGGGTTGTTGCGTTGCACTTATCCTGTATTCAACGGAAAAGAGCTCTTCTCTATGGAAACTTGTGTAGAGCACTGGTCAATTTTGCCCATGTGGGAAGTTCAAGGAATCTTGTTAGCTCGGATTTTAGCAACATTGTCCAGTGATGAGCTGTTTTGAAAGAGACGAACTTGAGAAATGTTATTCAGGTGCTATAAAATATTTTAAACCGGTTTTTTTATAAATCAGTGCCTTATAAGTGATCAACACACATTTTAGTCTTTCTTTTTTAGTACTTGGTGACACCTCGATGCCAACTGTTAAAACTAGTTTGAGCACATATGTGTCATGACACGGTACAATCAGGCACTCATCAATTTTGGGTCGTATGAAGTTATTGGTATAATTTTTAAGCATGTTCATTCGTCTTATTTTTGTTGAAAAAACACTCAACTATCCTGAATAGAAGTCATGATATTTGCATCTGCGAAGGGGATTGCCCTGTTTCAGAAATAAAATTAGCAAGAGAATGGCTGCTAAAGTTTGGAGATTTTCTAAACTTAAATGTTCTTGGAAACAACAAGTTTACATTTTTTGTGCTTTTGATTAATGTTTTCAGTAGAATCCACAAATAAATGTGTTTCCCAAACCAGAAGAAAACAAATCAATGAAAAGTCAAATCTGAGGGCAAAAGACTTAATTGGTACTTTCCTTTTCCGATCCAGCGGCCATTTGATTTCTAGCCCTTCTGCCTGAGGACAAATGACGGTTTCTTCAATATCATAATTTGACGAGTGCCTGATTTTCACCACCATGCCACACACACGCAAATATATAGATGAGATTGTAGTTTTCCGTGGGCCCTGAAAAACAGATCAACAGCGCTGCTGAATTTCGATTTTTTGCAGAATTTAGACAAATTTTAAAGCATTATTCCGCTTTCAGACGTAGAATTACGAGGAAAAAAAATTAAACAGAAGCGAGCTAACAACGTTAGAGGGGTCTCCATCTCACCGGAAGCCGGAAATTAGATCATTCTTTTTTTTTGGAAACAAAATTGATCTAGATCTAGATTTCTGTTTGTTTTAGTAAGGTTTTATGACGCTCGCAACTGCATAGTCATATAAGCACCAAGGGGTGGATGTCAGCAGAGAGGTCCAAACAGGGAATCAGGTTTACTCTGCTCACCTCTCTAGCCTCAACAGTGCAAAGTCTGCTTCGACTATCAAGGCACCCCGGAAATAGCAGTTCACAAGAGAGTGACAAACATACAAAAGAAGTAGAGGAAAAATGACGATAATAAGGATGAGGAAAGAAAAATCGGCAGTTCCCCCTATTCCCAATGTTATTCCGGCACAGTAGGAGCAAGACATTGATAAATCAACCCATTTTCAGTTTTACTGTGCATAAGAACATGTTAATATCCCCTCTTTGGAAATGGCCTAAAAACACTTCAGTCAGTAGCACTGCCCTCTATCTAGATTCTATTGTGCATGCGCTATTGTATTGGAGTAGCCTACATACAAGCGAGACAGGATTTGTCTTTCAGCAAAAATGAATAAATTTTTTTAAGGGAAAAATGCGTTGAAAACAAATGCCGCTGACTAAAAGTCAGCCTCAGTTTGCCAAAAGCACTTATGTGTCTGGCGGAAAACTGTTCTGCTAGTACGTATGTAATGTGGTACTTGACCACACTCGTAAATCAACTGTTGATGAGCATTTCTGTGTTTATGCCATCTTCATTCGGGGGGCTTTTCCTTATGGGGTGTTTTTAATTCTAATTGCGAGCTTTACCTCTGACTTCAGAATGTTGGAACCATTGTGGTCGCTTAGTTGTGGTAGGAGTGGTCATTTATCTTCAAATAATTCTGTCCTACATATTCTGCCCTTCTTCCTAGGGCTTTTTTTTTCTCAAATAACATTTATGATTTTCACATGGTATTTGGTCCGTGGAATCGTAATCTGGTGTCAGATTTTCTCTATCAGTATCAGGTAGAGCTGGGGCGAGCGGACGGACAGGTTCGTTACTCGCGGACTCAGTCTGAGCGTGCGTGTAACGGACGGCCATGCAAACCGACTGCGAGCCTCAAGACAAGTTCGTTTTTTGGGTCCACTCCACAATTTTACTCTCTCAGCGAGTGGACTGCGGACCTCAAGTCAGTTCGTTTCTTGGGTCCACTCCACAATTTTATTCACTAAGCAGGCGGGCAAACGGACGAACTCAAGCAGACGAGATACTCAACGTGAGGTTAGACCCATTGTCTTTTTTTTATTGATTAGGCCTAATATTTCAAGCCACTAGCGGTGCCACAGGGAGTGAGAGAGGCTGGTGACGTAGTGCTATGTGTGTAACCTTTTACCTTGTGTGTGGTCACACCGTGTA